AGACTGAGGTCAACTTGGGACCTGCAGAGACTGGTGATACTGGAAACAGCAAATGTTGAGGAGAGGACTGTTGTTGTAGTCAAGGATTCAGTAGAGCTCACAGAAGAGTGGGTGACAGTTGTGGGTGTTGTCGAAGGGATGTCTGTACTCAGAGAAGATGGAGTCATGGTTGTGAAAGTCACCATGGTACCTGAGGTAGGCGAAGCTGAGGAGATGGCAGTTGTGGTTGTACTGCTTGTGGAGTAGATGGTTGAAGAAGTGAAGCTGGGAACACTGTGGGAGGTGGTTTCAGGAGTGGTGGTTACCAAGGTTGTGATAGGAGTCGTGGCGGTTTCTACGGTTAGGAGAGAGGAAGAGGTGGGCGGGAGAGAAGTCTCAGGGAACAATGTACCTGTCATACTTGTGGGGTAGCTGATGTCGGTCGTGGAGTCTGTGGCTGTGCTAGTGGGAGAAGTAGTGTAGGTGGTCTCAGATGTAGGTCTAGACCTGGTGATGGTAGTAGCGAGTGTGGTCACCAAGGTGGATAGAGGAGTGGTGTTGGTGTTATGACTGGTGATTGTTTCTGTGTTCAGGACAGGTGTAGAATATAAAATGCTACTGGTGAGTGATGATAACGTATTACCGGCTGTGGGCCAGGAAGTCGTTCTTGCCATAGAAGTCACTGTATTGGTGGGAGTGACTGAAGAAGTGATGGGAGGAGTAGAAGTCATGGCTGTTGTGAGAGATTCTGTGGACATGTCAGTTGTAGGAGTCAGTGTGGTGGTCTCAGGGAATGTGGCTGTAGAGCTGGGGAAGGTGGTCTGACCTGTGCCTGTAGTTGCTACAGTGGTTGAAGGTGGTTCCATCATTGTGGATGTGGTGAATGAGGTGGTGGTAGTGGGCGATGGGGTGGATTCAGCTGTTGTGTGGAGTGTACTGGTGCTGGCTGGAGGTGAGGAGATACTCTCTGTGTGAGTGGTCCGGGCACTGCTGGCAGGCATGGAAGACGAAAATGAATATGTCCCTGGGAAGGTCGTCAAGAGGGAACTTGTCGGAGTGCTGTGTGTACTGGCAAAAGTTAGCCTTCCACTGGGAGTGGTGGCAGAGGTCATGCTGACAAAGGATGAGGTTTCTGTATTCTGGACAGTGGGAGATGAGGGAACGACAGTTGTTGGCCTTGCAGACATGCTGGAGACTATGTACACTGAGGTGAGGTCTGTCATCATAGGTAATGAACTAGTGATGCCCACAGATGAGGGAGTGATGGTTGTTGGTTGTGAGGTAGGGATACCTGTACTCAGAGTAGATGGGATCATGGATGTAGAAGTCATCATGGTACCCAAGGTTGTGGGAACTGAGGTGATGGCAGCTGTGTATGAGCTGTCTGTGGAGTAGATGGTTGAAGAAGTGAAGCTGGAGGTACTATGTGAGGTGATCTTGGCGGTAGTGGTGGTGGTTACCAAGTTTGTGGTAGGAGTTTTGGCTGTTTCTGCGGTTGAGACCAAGGGAGAGGTGGGTGGAATAGAGGTGGCAGTGGATGATGTCTCTGTCATAGTGGTGGGATAGGTGATTTCAGTCGTGGAGTTTGTACCAGGGCCACTCGGAGAATTAGGATAGGTGGTCTCAGATGTAGTCATAGATGAGATATTTGTAGTGGGGAGTGTGGTTACCAAGATAGATGGAGGGATTGTGTTTGTGGTGCCACTGGTGATTGCTTCTGTGCTTGGGACAGGTGGAGAAGACAGAGTCATACTGGTCAGTGATGTAAAATAATTGGTGGTTGTGGGAGGAGAGGTCATAGTTGTCACAGAAGTCACTGTATTTGTGGAAGTGACTGATGAAGTAATGGGAGGATAGTCCACAACGCTTTGTGGAAGGATCTGTAGAAATGTCAATTGCAGGAGTCAGTGTGGTGATCTCTGGGAATGTGGCTGTAGAGCTGGGGAAGGTGGTCTGACCTGTGCCTGTAGTTGCTACAGTGGTTGAAGGTGGTTCCATAGTTGTGGAAGTTGTGAATGAAGTGGTGGTAGCGGGTGATAGGGTGGATTCTGCTGTTGTGTGGAGTGTACTGGTGCTGGCTGGAGGTGAGGAGATACTCTCTGTGTGAGTGGTCCCGGCACTGCTGGCAGACATGGAAGAGGAAAATGAATATGTTGCTGGGAAGGTTGTCAGGAGGGAACTTGTCGGAGTGCTGTGTGTACTTGCAAAAGTTGGTGTCCCACTGGGAGTGGTGGCAGAGGTCATGCTGACAACGGATGACGTTTCTGTATTCTGGATGCTGGGTGAAGATGGAATGACACTTATGGACATTGCTGAAGAACTGGAAACAGTGAATGTCGATATGAGGTCTGTTCCTGTAGTCGGGAAGCCAGTAGAGCCCACAGAAGGGTGGGTGATAGTTGTTGGTGTTGTCGAAGGGATGTCTGTAGTCAGAGAAGACGGGGTCATGGTTGTGGAAGTCACTATGGTACCTGAGGTAGGGGAAGCTGAGGAGATGGCAGTTGTGGATGTGCTGACTGTAGAGTAGATGGCTGAAGAAGACAAGGTGGGAGTACTGTGGGAGGTGATCTCAGGGGTGGTGATAACCAAGTTTGTCATAGGAGTTGTGGCTGTTTCTGTGGTTGGGAGAGAGGAAGATGTGGGTGGGAAAGAAGTCTCCATGGACAATGTACCTGTCACACTTGTGGAGTAGGTGATTTTGGTTGTGGAGTCTGTCACAGTGCTGGTGGGAGAAGTAGGGTAGGTGAGCTCAGATGTAGGTGTAGACCTGGTGATGGTAGTGGGGAGTGTGGTCACCAAGGTATATAGAGGAGTGGTGTTTGTGATACCACTGGTGATTGTTTCTGTGCTCAGGACAGGTGTGGAAGATAAAATGGTACTGGTGGGTGATGACAGTGTATTAGTGGCTGTGGGCCAGGAGGTGGTCGTTGTCACAGAAGTCACTGTATCTGTGGAAGTGACTGAAGAAGTGACGTGGGAAGTGGAAGTCACCGCTGTTTTGAGAGTAGTAAATACTGGGGCTGGGGACATGGTCGTATGGACACTTCCAGTGGGCTGGGGAATCCTTTCTGTGGTTCTAATTGTAGAGAAGACCATAGTGTGGAAGGTTGTGTCTGTGGCTGACACAGAGGAAGAGGGTGTCACTGTCACTATGGGAGTTTCCCTCGCAGTGGTGGTAGAGAGAGATGTCACGGCTGATGTTCCTTTCTCGGTAGTGGTCATAGGGTAAGTCCTGGTGAGGGTGGTCACTGGCTTCTGTGTCACGGGAGTGGGGGTGTAAGAGCTGGTGAAGGCCACCTGCGTCGTGGTCACACAGATGGAGGTGGGGTGGGAGATGGTGATTGTAAAGCTCGTTGGATACACGCACTCAGTGGTGGCCGAATAGACCAACACAGTGGGTGGAGTGGTTTCAACCTTGAAAGCAAACTTGGACGTCGGGGTGGTTGAGGTGTTGGAACTGACTGGAGAGGTGAGCAGTGTTTCAGAGATGAGTGTGTCATGGGGGGAGGTAATGAGCGTCATAGGTGCATTTTCCCTGTGGCCAGGAGCAGGCGAGGCGAGCTGGGGGACACCGAGTGGCCGCCCAGCCAGGTCTCTGGAGTGTGGAGAATTGCTGAGCACAGCGCGGGCTGCTTCCGCCCTGGGGAAAGGCACATGAGAGATGGATGTGGCCGTAGATACAGTTCCTGCATTGGCAGCAGAGCAGAGGAATCCACTGGTAAATCCGTGGGTCATTTTGTCACATCACTCATGTAAGTTACTCACTCACTCCCATTTTCCAGGCAGCATCACAGAGGGCAGGGCATGCCACAGCTCACTCCTGCATCAGAGGCAGCTTGGAGCTGGGCGCTTTGTGGTGCTGGAGCCCACTGCCTGTCTGCTCCTAGGGGAGCAGTGGGGCATGGGAGCGCTCATTCCTCAACCGGCCTTGGCCTTGTCATGGCAGGTCCTCCTGTCCTGGGATAGCCAAGCTGGGCAGAGCCTCCCTCCTCTTCCTTCCCTCCTCTGGTCACACCCAGGCCCCTCCTCCCTCTGCCCCTTCCTCTCCTCCCCCTGCTGCTGCCTGGAGTCCTCCCATCCCCTCCATTAACCTTCTGCTCCCACCATGGCTTCTCCCCGCACCCTGCTGCTGTCTGAGCTGACTACTCCTTTCAAAGAGAAAAAGAGAGAATATAGCCAAGTCCTAGCAAGGGGCACATCACAAAAACCATGAGACAGAGAAAGTTGCACAAAGAGGGCCAGGCGCAGTGGCTCACGCCTGTAATCCCAGCATTTTGAAAGGCCAAGGCAGGTGACCACTTGAGGTCAGGAGTTCGAGACAACTCTGACCAACATGGTGAAATCCGTTCTCTACTAAAACAAAATACAAAAATTAGCCGGTCGTGGTGGCGTATACCTGTAGCTGAGTCAGGAGAATCGCTTGAACCCGGGAGGCAGAGGCTGCAGCGGGCTGAGATGGCGCCACTGCACTCCAGCCTGGGAGACAGAGCAAGACTCCGTTAAAAAAAACACACACACAAAACTGCCCAGAGAACACCAAGGAGAAACAGAAGCTAAGCTCACACACGCTAATGACTTCAAAGGGCATGGTGTGAGGACCACGCGGAGAGGTAGAGAGACAGGATGGAGAAGGAAACTTCCAGAAGGAGCTACCTCAGCAGTCAGGCGTGATGAGTTCCGGAGACCTTAAGGCTTAGCAGTGAGTGTTCATCACAAAAATAGACATATTTTTCTATAACTATTCCCTTTTGGCCATGGGATTCATTCGTTTACAAGCATGAACCCCAGCATGTGGATTTCAACCCATTTCACAGTTGGTGACAGTTAGGATCAGAGATCCAGCTGTCAGAGGTGTCGGGGAGGAGGAAGACAGGCAGCCACAGCAGATGGGAAGTGGGAAGTACCCGATCTGATACCCCTCACCTCAGGCACAGCCCATCTTGTGGCTGAGAGCTGTTGTGTCACGTCTCAGCCTAGCTCGTGGGTGCCAGGGAAGTGGGGTCAGGGATTATGAGAATCCCCAGGCTACAGCCCTTGGCTCCAGGATGTGGCCCTGGAGGTGACTGAGAAGAGGACTCATGGGCCTCTGGCTGGGTGGCCTGGGATCGGGGATCAGAAGCAGACACTGAAAGACAGAGAAAAGAGAAGTACAGAGCAATTGCGAGGTGTTCCTGCAGGGCAGAAGAGAGAAGCCTGGGACCCCATGCTGGGTAGTCTCAGACGCATCCCTGAAAGTGAAGCAGACTTCAGGAGCTCCCTGCCCGGGCCCTGGTACCAACAGCTGTGCCCAGACACATGGGCTCTGGCCGGGGTGAGAGAGTGATGGCAGAGCTGGGGAGGAGCCGCTGGGGGACAAAAGGTAAAGAGGCTGAAAGCCAAGGACAGAGACCAGGGGCAGAAGTTAGAGGGCTGTCAGGGAGGGAGAGGCCAGTGTGGACAGGGCACTGGATCTGGGGGCGTGAGGTGGGTGACAGAAGTAGCCAAGGCAGGAAGGCCACTGCTCTGGGAAGATCTAAGTCCCACCCTCCACCCTCCAGCGGCAGATACACGTTGGAGTGCAGCCCCTGCAACCTGCTCAGTGCTTGGTGGAGAATGGCAGCAGGGACCCACTCTTTCCCAATCTCGGTTTTTCCTGCACCTGAAGCTCTGGGAGAAACCTCTCCTCATCGCCCCCTCCCCGCATCAGGCCGTGCCTCGGTTCTGCCTGCACCCAGAGCTCCAATCGGCGCCTTCTTATCCCGCCTCCCCAGGCCTCACAGCCACCTTTCCCTCCTGTTTCCTGGAATATCATATCAGGAACTTCTCTCCATTCCCCTCCCACCTCTCCTCCTTACCCGTGGCCCCTGGGGAGGCCTTGAGCATCCAGAGGAGGCCGAGGAGCCCCAGCAGCTGCATGAGCCCAGCGGGCAGAGGGCTGGGGCAGAGCAGCCTTCAGGATCAGGACAGCGGCAGGGACGTGGCCCTAGGGCATGCACTTAATGAAAGCGTCCGTTATCTGTTTTGCTGAGCGTCAGGGCTGAGCGCAGCCTCACCTTTGCACCGCCGCACCTCACCCCTTTTCCTCCCTTCTCCGTGTATCCGGACAGACCGACGTCAGCACTGTGGGAAGCGGAACACCGGGAAAAAGACAGGACAAGTCCAGAAAGTGTCTGGCAGAAAGAGTTGCTATTGGCTCAGCCCCACAGCCTACCTGGCTCACGTGGAGCTCCCTGAAAGCTTCCCTTCCTCCCCGACACTGGTGGAGGGTACCCTTGACGGAGGGCGTGGACTCTGGAGTCTGCATCGACTCCTGCAGCCTCTCCTTAGTTTTCAATTCCTCCTGCTGAGGCAGTGCAACCTCGCTCTCCTTCAAGCCCCTTCTGTCCCTCCATTTGCCCCTGCTCCATCCTGCTCCCGGCAGGACCCCACAGGCCACACAAAAACGTGGGAGTAATTAACACAGAATTCCGTCTGAAGTCATTTTATTATCTGAAGAGTTGGGGCTAGGTCCCAGAAAAGGAAACACGGATGACCAAAGGAAACACTCAAAAATACTAGTCTGGGCCCGGCACGGTGGCTTGCGCCTGTATTCCCAGTGCTTTGCGAGGCTGAGTAGTGTGGATCACTTGAGGTCAGGAGTTCGAGACCAGCCTGGGCAACATGGCAAAACCCCATCTCTACTAATAAGCTGAGGCAGAAGAATCGCTTGAACCCAGAAGGTGGAGGTTGCAGTGAGCTAAGATCACACCACTGCACTCCAACCTGAGCAACAGAGCGAGACTCCATCTAAAAAAAAAAACTAGCTTGGACCTAGCACATTGTTTGACCTATCCAGTTTGGGCAAAGTTGTGAAGAATAAATGTTCTTACCCTGCTGGTGGGTGTGTAGGTGGGTTGGGTTGCTTTAAAAGGGTGATTTGAGGATCACTTGAGGTCAGGGGTTCAAGACCAGACTGGCCAACATAGTGAAACCCCGTCTGTACTAAAAATACAAAAATTAGCCTGGCGTAGGGTGGGCACCCGTAATCTCACCTATTCAGGAGGCTGAGGCAGGAGAATTGCTTGAACCCCAGAGGCAGAGGTTGCAATGAGCCAAGATCATACCTCTGCACTCCAGCCTGGGCAACAAAGCAAAACTTCATTTCAAAAATAAGATAAAATAAAACAAATGTTCTTATCCAGGTGGTGGGTGTGTAGGTGGGTTGGGTTGCTTTAAAGGGGTAATTTGGTGGCATCTATTAAAATTTTAAATGTGTGCCTTAAGACCCAGCAATTTCACTCTCCATCTCTGTGTCCAAGAAGCCCTTCAAGGAAGCATTCACAAGGATGTTTATTGACTCTCAATTATGGCAATTCTGACGGAAATTGGAAACAACCCAAACGATTGTTTCAATCCAGAAAGAAGATGGAATAGTCACCCTACAGAACACTATGCTCAGGCCAGATTCTGTGGCTCACACCTTTAATCTCAGCACTTTGGGAGGCCGGGGCAGGAGGATCTCTTAAGCCCAGATGTTCCAGGCCAGCCTGGGCAACATGGAAAGACCCCACCTCTACAAAAAAAAAAAAAAATACACAAAAAATTAGCCAGGCATAGCGGTGTGCACCTGTGGTCTCAGCTACTTGGTAGGCCAAGGTGGGAGGATCACCTGAGCCCAGGAGGTCGAGGCTCCAATGAGTCATGATCGAGCCACTGCACTCCAGCCTGGGTGGCAAAGCGAAACTCTGTCTCAAAAAAAAAAAAAATTATGAACATAAAATTAGATCAAGGCCAGACACAGTGGCTCACATCTGTCATCCCAGCACTTTGGGAGGCCGAGGTGGGTGGATCACTTGAGGTCAGGAGTTTGAGACAAGCCTGACCAACATGGCGAAACCCCATCTCTACTAAAAATACAAAGATTAGCCAGGGATGGTAGTGCACGCCTGTAATCCCAGCTACTCAGGAGGCTGAGGCAGGAGAATTGCTTGAACCCAGGGAGTGACGGTTGTAGTAAGCCAAGATCACGCCACTGCACTCTGGCCTGGGTGACAGAGTGAGACTCCATCTCAAAAAAAATTATAAAATAAAACAAAATTAGTTCAGACCAGGCACAGTAGCTCACACCTGTAATCCCAACACTTTGGGAGGTCAAGGCAGGAGGATCACTTGAGGCTAGGAGTTCAAGACCACCCTGGACAATATAGCGAGACCCATCTCTACAAAAAAAAAAAAAAAAGATAAAAAGAAAAATAGATCTAAATAGGTCTGCCCATCCCTAAGGGAAGATGCTTTGCAGAGAGAAACTGCAGCTCTTCCTCTTCCCAGCAGGCTCAAAGGACAGGATTGCAAAGGCAGCCAGTGAACTCACCGAGGCCAGGCCTGCTGGGAGAGCTTTGTGAGGGGCTGTGCCTCTCATGTCTCCTGAGGGACCTCATCCTTATTGAGAGTCACTGAAGGGACCCTAAATAGGAGGCACTGTGGACACCCACCAAGGGACACAGCCTGAGCATCGGTTGTGCAGCTGGCTGCACCAAAATCCAGGGGACACATTATATAGCCCTGGCCTCAGGGTGTGTGGTCAAGTTGAGGAAGTGAGCAAAGAAATGAAAAGCATCTCTTCGTTAGTCCTCCTTCCCAACATGGCACAGTCTATTAACATCACGGAGCTGCATCTGCCACAACTAGAAATGCTCAAGAACCAGCTGGACCAGGAAGTGGAGTTCTTCTCCACGTCCATTGCCCAGCTCAAAGTGGTACAGACCAAGTATGTGGAAGCCAAGGACTGTCTGAACATGCTGAACAAGAGCAATGAGGGGAAACAATCACATGTCCCACTGACGAGTTCTATGTATGTCCCTGGGAAGCTGCATGATGTGGAACATGTGCTCATCCATGTGGGAACTGGGTACTATGTAGAGAAGACAGCTCAGGATGCCAAGGACTTCTTCAAGAGGAAGATAGATTTTTCTAACCAAGCAGATGGAGAAAATCCAACCAGCTCTTCAGAAGAAGCACGCCATGAAACAGGCTGTCATGGAAATGATGAGTCAGAAGATTCAGCAGCTCACAGCCCTGGGGGCAGCTCAGGCTACTGCTAAGGCCTGAGAGTTTTTGCAGAAATGGGGCAGAGGGACACCCTTTGGGCATGGCTTCCTAGTGCTGGGAAGAGTCTTGTGCTTAATGCCAATAAATGTGCCAGCTGGGCAAAAAAAAAAAAGAAAGAAATGAAAAGCTAAAGAGTCCAAATGAGGTGGAGCTCAGAGCCCAACAATAACACTATTGGTGGTAACTCAGGGGAGGGGCCAACAGGGAGCAGGGCTACTCTTGGGGTCTTCCACTTCAATTTCTTAATACATTTGATCAATTTGCCCAGCATGAAGATACTTGTTTGCAAAAAGTTTTGTTGTTGTTTTTCAGAGCAGTCTCTGTGGAAAGGCTGAAGCCACGTGGTCAAGCACCATAGCCAGCCAAGACGCTGCAAACCAAGCTGGAGGTTTCGGGGGTTTCCAGTCCTTTTTTATTTTTTTATTTTTTCTAAGGATCAAGCACCATAAAATTCCATCGCTGTTCTGGAGACACAGACATAAATGGAGAATGGATCCCTGTTGTAAGTAAAGATTACCAGGCTCCTGGGGAGATGGATCCCAGATCTACCCGCTTCTGTCCATCACCTCTCTACTACTCACACCCCCTTCTGCTCCAGTCACCAGACTCCCGATCTCAGCCTCTGCCCCACTCCAGGCCCTTGCCTGAGCCATTCCTACACCTGCAGTGCCCTCCTGCTCTTCCTCTTTCTCTCACCTGTGAAAATCCCACCTGTCCTTTAGAGTTCTACACCTTCCTCATCTCCTCCAGGAAGTCATGTGCAATCAGGAAGTGACCTCTTCCACTCCTGAAATTTTTTTTTTTTTTTTTTTGAGATGGAGTCTCGCTCTGTCGTCCAGGCTGAAGAGCAATGGAGGCATCCCGGCTCACTGCAACCTCTGTCTGTGGGTTCAAGAGATTCTCTTGCCTCAACCTCCCAAGTAGCTGGGGTTACAGGCATGTGCCACCACACCTGGATAATTTTTTTGTGTATTCTTAGTAAAGATGGAGTTTCACCTTTTTGGCCTGGCTGGTCTCAAACTCCTGACCTCCAGTGATCCTCCCACCTTGGCCTCCCAAAGTGCTGTGATTACAGGTGTGAGCCACTGCAGCTGGCCCACTCCTGAAATTAATGGTGCTCATTACGGATACCTCTCCCATGATGCATACTTATTATCTCCTAGCTGGGAGCACAGTCATTTGAACGCCTGCCCAGAAGGGAGAGGGAAAGGTGACATCTTTGTATTCTGAGTAGGGACAGTGGCCACTTTCCCTGCAGAGCCTGGGAAAGGGCCCCGCCCCACTCAGGGAGGCAATGGACGAGCTAAGACTGCCGGAGTCCTCCACCTGTGGTTCAAGAATGTCCTATGCCCACACTGGGGTCCAGCCTTCATGGGGAAGCTGGAGAAGATGGAAGAGAAAAGAGTATTCTACTGGGGTTGAGAGACGTGGCTATAATGTCAGATGCTGCTGACTGTAGGCTGCCCACACACAACTGAGACTGGGAGTTGACTCCAGAAATTAATACGTTTCCAGCCAGAGCTCAAGACAGGAGAGAGGATTGCTGGGGAGAAGGAAGGAGCAGAGCTGTGGGAAGACTATGCTGACGATGGCGGTGTCGGCCCAATCGTCAGTGACACTCGCCATCCGGCCCCTTCCTAGTAACACTGAAATGGAATGCACGGGAAGTCAATGGAGGACACTGGTCTCCCTCCAAGGTCACTTTTGTCAAGGTACCTGGGGGAAGATGTGAATCCAGAAATGTACAGGCTGAGATCTGCCCCCAAATATCAAGGAGTAGGGAGGGACGTGTTGAAACTAGGGCTAGGGGCTGGGCATGGTAGCTTACGCCTGTAATTCCAGTACTTTGGGAGGCCTAGCTGGACAGATCACCTGAGGTCAGGAGTGTGAGACCAGCCTGGCCAACATAGAGAAACCCCATCTCTACTAAAAATACAAAAATTAGCTGAACAGGGTGATGTACACATGTAGTCCCAGCTACTAGAGAGACTTGG